CGCACAGTAACAAAATATTAATGTCCCCTCGTCTGCATAAACCATCGGGCAAACGTTTCCGCGATCCGCCAAACAGCATGCATGCAAGTAATGGCCCTTTTTATATCATGCGAACCGATTATACTTGGAGCTAATGACTTTGCTGAACGATCATATAAATTTGGAGAAGCGGCCATACAACGAAATGTCTCCTCTTCTTCACTAGTTATATTACTGTAACGGGATATAGCTCCCGATCCTTCAGTATCCGCATATGTCTCATCTAAACTTAACAAAACGTTAACGGCCGGATATTCATAATGACGCGTTAAAGCCAGCAGTCGAGGTAAATCTTTATAACTGTCCGGACCAGCTACAACGTCTACGGATTTCTCCTTTTCCAAGACATATTGTTTCAATCGTTTTGCCATACAACCCAGTATAGAAATTTGCAAAGGCCCTCGTTTTGTTGATCGGTTATGGTTCAAGGCCTTAGATTTTGTAATCGATTCCATATTTTTGCTTCCGGTCCGTCTATTAGCCGCTATACCAGCGCACAGTTTAGCTTATGTCTTTTCTGCAGCTGTATAGGAAGATGGGAGAGCAAATGCATGGACAAGACTTATGTGCTCAAATTTTAATGATTTTAACGGCTTGCGAATTGTATACTGTACTATGAATGAATAAATAATTTACTAACTTTTCACGAATTTAAAATTTTTGTTTTGTTTCAGATGTTTGTAAGTAAGCAAATTAGCTCGTAATATATTTTATTTACAGCTTAAAGCTGTTTTTTCTCATAACTGAAGGCTTAATCAAGTAATACTAACGCAAAGCGTCGGCAGCAATTTTGCTTACATCGATTATGACAAGTTTGAAAGACCGGCCCGTCTCTCTTGTGAATACATAAAATTATAAAGTCGAATTTGAAAATGAAACCTGGTTAACGCCATACACAATTAGTGCATAGCACAGCGAATCAAAATAAACATCTGGCGAGTAATCACATAGCTCAAGTTTTTCATACGTGATAACACTACGGTGCTCATTTGCTGAATTGAAGAAGAAGAGCGTACAATCTGTCTTTCATACAACTGTTTGCGTGACAAATTTATGCCGACTGACTAAACTGTTTGGTAAAAGTTGAAGAAAAGGACGATTTCCTTGGTCGAACAAGCGAAAATGATTAGTTTAAAGCGTGAAATGGATACTTTAAATGAATTGGTAAGATCATATTTTATAATTGGATTGTTGCAATCAATAGTTTATTATTATTTCAATGAAAGGAACGCGCCACCAGCGAACTGCGTGAACAAATTGAGCGCACGAAAGAAAGTGAGATTTTGGGCGAACAGGATGAAGAACTGACTAAACTACAACTGGAAAACATGAAACTTAAACATCGTTTAGCTATATTAGAAAGGGTGAAGGTCAGTCAGTGATTAAGTTGCATTCCACTGTGAATACTGTCAAAAAATGTTATCTTTCAGACTTTAGAAGCTAAAAAACAATGCACTGTAACAGCGATTAATACCAACAATTTAACTGAATCTACATCTTCGTTTAATGCTATTGCCATACCTACGAAAATAGATGAAATGATTCCTATAAGTGCCCATCTAATCGATTTGTTTACGAATGCTATTGCTTCAGCTTTTCCGCATTTGGCTGGTACTTCAGCTGTTATAACGCCCGTTAGCTCAAATGCCGCGAAATTCGGTGATTATCAGTGTAATAGTGCTATGTCATTATCTAAAACTTTCAAGGCTGATCAGAGCAATAATAAATCCCCACGCGATATCGCACAAGAGATTGTAAAGCAAACCACCTCCAGCCCATTGATTGACAAGCTAGAAATAGCCGGTGCTGGTTTTATAAACGTTTTCTTAAACAAGTATAAGTGTAAGCGTACGAATTTGGGGCTCGTATAAACTTTAAATTTTTTTTTAGATCTTATGCTGTTAGTGCTTTGACCAATACATTACGGATGGGTGTTAAACCGCCTCAAGTAAAACGCCAACGGATTTTAGTAGATTTTTCTTCTCCAAACATCGCCAAAGAAATGCATGTGGGACATTTACGATCTACCATAATTGGTGAATCAATTTCACGTTTGTTGGAATTTTTAGGCCATGATGTTCTGCGGATTAATCACTTAGGAGACTGGGGAACTCAGTTCGGCATGTTGATTGCTCATCTAGAGGAACGATTTCCTAATTTCCTGAATGAAAGTCCACCCATCGGGGATCTGCAAGCGTTTTACAAGGAATCGAAGAAACGGTAGGCTCATTTATATCGCTTTTTAAAAATTTTCCGTAAAAATGTTTTCGAAAATTTTTTTAGATTCGACGAAGATGAAGAATTTAAAAAACGTGCTTATAATCGCGTCGTGGAGTTACAAAGTGGAGAGGCAAATTCTACTAAGGCATGGAAATTGATATGTGATGTTTCTCGGAAAGAATTCCAGAAAGTTTACGAACGTTTGGATGTAAAACTTTCTGAGAAGGGAGAGTCGTTCTATCAGTCCCGTATGGTTGAAATTGTAAAATTCTTGGAACAGAATAATTTCTTAGAATTGGATGAAGGCCGAAAGATAATGTGGCCCACTGATGAAAAAACTGGAATACCTTTGACTATTATTAAGTCTGATGGAGGTTTTACGTACGATACTTCGGACATGGCAGCTATACGTTATCGATTGGAGGAAGAAAAAGCTGAATGGATTATTTATGTTGTAGACGCTGGTCAGAATATACATTTGCAGAATGTTTTCTCGGCCGCAAAGAGATGTCGCATTTTGCATCCATGCTACCATCGAGCTGATCATGTACAGTTCGGTGTTGTTTTGGGAGAAGATGGTAAAAAGTTTAAAACTAGGTCCGGTGATACGGTAAAGTTAACAGATTTACTTGACGAAGGATTAAAACGGTCCTTAGCTAAGCTCAAAGAAAAGGAACGCGAAAAAGTTTTGACACCCGAAGAATTAAAAGCTGCCCAAGAATCAGTGGCTTACGGTTGCATTAAATATGCCGATTTGAGTCATAATCGCCTCAACGAATATGTATTCTCCTTTGATAAAATGTTGGAAGATCGTGGCAATACAGCCGTCTACTTGCTATATGCTTACAGTCGCATTTGCTCTATCGCACGTAATAGCGGCAAGGATTTCTCCCAAGTCAATAATGTGCTCGAGACAGTTAAAATTGAATTGGAACATGAAAAAGAGTGGAAGCTGGCAAAATCTTTATTAAAATTTCCCGATATTTTGTTGAAAATCTCGAAGAGCTTACTGTTGCATTTATTATGCGAATATTGTTATGAAGTTTGTACGACATTTTCAGAATTCTACGACAATTGCTACTGCATTGAGAAAGACAAGAGCGGTGTAATAACCAAGGTGAACTGTAGCCGTATTTTATTATGCGAAGCTACTGCATTGATACTAAGGGAATGTTTTAATATTTTGGGCTTAAAACCAGTGGACAAAATCTAATTGGAATAAAAAAAAGCTCCAGATATGGTAGCCCATTTTCTATATTTTTTACACATCTGTTCATGTTTACAGTGATTTTTTTACTTCTAGTTCTAACCATAAATTTTTGTTTAGATCCTCCTGTAAAACAATGTGGTATCCCGGCTGCCTATTGTGTTTATTTTCAGGAGTTTTTAACCCGAAAACGAAAAACGCCTCACTAAGGTTGCCCGCTCCCTGTTATAATACAGCAAGCAACTTGTGGTTAACTTGCCGAGCATTCAAAAAGAAAAGCATATTTTACGAAAGTGAAGCCATGTTAAAAATGCAAATTTTACATGAGCTCTACATTGCTTTTGTCCGATTCTTTATCCCAGTTCAAGATCAAAGGCTTAATTATTTTTATATTCATTTAATCGGACTGAGCGGCGAGTAGGGAAAGAATCTCAACTAACAATTCAATGATAAGTTTAAAACTGATTTTGGTTATGAGCTTATTTCGGGCGATGAAGCTATAGACGGGAGCAAATTGTCCTTACTCATTGGAATTTCTTTCTTCGTTTTTTTTTGTTTTTGCGTTAGCGACCTCTGTATTGTCATATCAATGTCAATCTTACAAAGTATAAGAGGTGTAGCAGAACCATATATCCAGCTGCTACGATTTTTTTGCACCACTTCTTCGCATTTAACTGATATGATCATGCCATTTCTGTTACTTCGTCCCATTTAACAGATATGCTCATGCTGTCATATTGCTGTGATTGAAGCTTATTATGTGTACTACATAGAAAAGCAACCAGTACGTCCCAGTTTACGTATTACGCAAACCGTTTATTAACCTTAACAGACATAAAAGATGCATTTGAAATTATTGAAGACGTAACTAAGGAATTGCTGAATTAATTTGCACTCAAAAAGATAAGACGAAGCGATTTTAGTCTTACCCAAATTAGATAAAATGAAAATGAATTTTATTCTTCGTATCGAAAGGTAAAGCAAATTATTCCATCTTTTAAAATCTCTAAGATTTGAGTTTATTTTAATCTTCACATTTTACGATGTTAACGTTGGGAAACAAAACTTTAAACTAAAAATATTGGTGCTATATTATCCCTTATTTGTTTACCCATCTGCCTTAATTGCGAGAACACTTGTTCGAGGCGCTGAAGAATCTCAATCATCGCTTTCCTAAGTTTGCACTTTGTAATATAACCAGATGTAGGGAGCTACATAAACTTCGTGGATCTTATCATTTTTTTTGGATAATAACTGCTTTTGCTCTCTTCCATTAAAAAGCGCGTGCGACCTTAGTAAATAAACAGAATTAATGCTTTTCATCTCCTTCCAATAAATATCATTGCATATTTTTTTTAATTGGAGCGACCAGTCCTCTGTAACCACGGCTCTAACGGAAATCCACTATCACCTAAAAATATTTGAAATATAAAGGTACGTGAATATACGCATTCATCAGGTAGCAGTTATTCTGCCACGGATTTGGCCGGTAACGGCGACAAACGTTCGGATAGTTTTAAATAGAAAGGTAAACTGGAATCGTTTAAAACTTCCAGTGAGAGAATTTTTCAATTCGGTAAACATTCGTCCTCATCCTCTCGTAGTTTACCCAAACCCAAGGGTTCAAATCTCAAATATGGTTGAATTATCAATAAAGGCGATAGCCTTAGGTGCTAGTGCTTTAAGACTTTAATGTTGGAATTTATTTCTTTCTAAATTAATAATAAAATATTCTTTTATTTACCAAATGCTTCTAAAAAAATATTCATCGAATTAGTAAAGCATATTGAATTATTTTTACATCAAAAAACCTGAACCCATTAATCGTTCTATGTAAAGTAACCGTCTCAGCGTATAATTTTTAATACTTAAAAATTTCAAAGAGATCAAAAATATAAAGGAGATAATTCACCTTTGCGTAAAATTAATCCTGTGCTAACATTTTCTCATCCTGATTGTGAATACTAGGTTACCGAATTTTTTGAACTTCTACAATTGGGCAATTATTCTTTGCTATTGACCTTTTAAGGGTCACAAATTTATTGGCTTCATCCATCTTAACTCGACTTCCAAAAAAAAGATTTGTATTTTCAGAAATCTATGATGAAGAAATTGCCGAGGAAATATCTCATGAGTTATGGCAGGAAGCATGTTGGATTGTTATAAACGCTTATTTCGAAGAAAAGGGACTGCTACGCCAACAACTAGACACTTTCGATGAATTCATACAAATGTCTCAGAAACGCTTTGGTGGGGTTTTTTCATAAATTTTTCATGGTTGGGGAATTTTAACAAAGTTAAGTGTTTCAATAATTTATTGTACAAGACAACGCCACGAACATCAGTAGGAAATCGCATATGATCGGCATAAACTTTTAACACACTTCTAAATACAACGAATTTTTCTTTAGTATAGGTTTCCATTTTTGTTCCGCAGAGGTAAACAAATTTTGTTCATTATTTATCGATCCATCCATTATCCATTACTATTATCGCGTAAAAGGACTTGGCTGACTTTACTTAATCAAGACGATCCCAAAAAAAGGGGATTTGTAATTTGCTATCAAATTTATAGTCACGGCATTCGGCAACCCTTAGCTGTTGTCAGTTGTCAAATTCGCGTTTAGAAGTAAAGGCAGAAAATTTTTTGTTCGTTTAAATAAATATTGTTCTTTTTTGTTCGTTTCAAAAAGTTAGTCAGATATATTTGGCTTTACAAGACATTATTAACTAAAATAAAAAAATAAAACGATTGTGTTTAAAAATGGAAATCGCGGCAACCTAAGCACTGTCTTCATAATCTGAAACAGGCACCCACACTCATATACCAAAACATTGTTCGTATAACAATAATTTGTTTAGTAAATTTTTCTTCTAATGAAATATTTTATGAATAATAAAAGAGGACAAAAAACTATAATTGTTTTACGTAACATAATTTATTAATACACAAATATTATATGAATTGTGTGCAAAGATATTTGTGTAAAATAAAGGGGCAAATTGCGTCACCATAACTAAAATTGCACCAATAAGACAAAGGAACGGAGATTTTTGCAGCCCCGGTTAACAAGTGCACTGTTGCTGTTGTGTAGCATATCTTGTTCACAATGACTTCTGGTGTTGGTGGTGTTAATAGCGGTGCTGGAACATTGGAAGGTACTCTCAGTAAATGGACCAATGTTATGAAGGGCTGGCAATATCGTTTTTTTGTTCTGGATGAAAATGCTGGCCTGTTATCATATTATACAGTAAGTGAGATATTGTACGTGTTGAATACTTTTTTATTATTCTTGTGTAAATATGAAAAAACGCGAATACATATATGTTTGCAGATATTTACGTATATTTATATATTTGCACTTTGTTAGATAAAGTTAATGCAGAAAAATTTATTTATTTAAAGAGATAACGCAATAAGTGCCGCGTAATCCAGTCAATATGAACCGCACATATTCCATTTTTGTCCTGAGGGTCATAGGAACGATAATTATTTATTTCATCTAATTAAAAATTTTTAAACGTTATGGATGAAAATTAAGAAAACGTAGACTAGAATTTATTCCATCGCATTACTTTACTTTCTGTTTATTGGAGTAAAAATTTACGAACTTTAATTCTAATGGAAATCTAAATGTGCTGAATACCTACAAAACAATTAGGCAATTTTTATGATATTCTAAAGATAAAGCGAATTGCTTATGTACGTTTCTTGGAGAAAGTTTTAAAAAAAACAAAATCTGCATAAAACCAATACGTTCGGACAAAGAAGATATAATATCTTGTAGAAAATACAGGAACAGCCCGTCGCGAAGCAGCACCTCTGCCCTCTTAGAACAGTCGCGGCATGAATTCGCTAAGATAGAAAGCAAATACTCAGATTTGCTTGTCTGCATTTCGAACAAGGCAAGCCCCGCTAAGAACTGCAATTTAGAAAGTCTTGCTAGAGTGTATGTATGCCTAGACCGGTATAGTTTAGAAGGAAACTTTTATATATAACTCTTGATCAGAGCCAAAAATTGGACTAATCTAGACATATCCGTCTGCCAGTCCCTGTGAAGACTGAGATACGCATTCTCATTCTTCTCATCGCATAGTGACCTTTAATTTTTGGAAGAATTTTGGGAATTCTTGCACACTTCTATTAAAAACTAACCAAATCAGTTTAATGATGTAACCCCGTACCTAACAAAGTGCAACTCAAAAGAAAGAAAAAGGGTTGTCATTAAACTGGCTTAGTATCTTAAGCTTATATCATAAATGCATGCCTCTGAATCCTGGCCGTAACAATCGCAAGAGTTTTCCATTTAAAAAAAAAATGTCAAAATCTATAACGTTGTGAAGCCAGAAATCAAATCAAAATCGTTTCCGCTTTCTGAAATACAAGTAAATGGCATCAAAACCTATTTCTGGTTCATCGTTCAATTGCATTATTTTTATTTAAGCCGCTTTTCTTGGCGTCTCTTTGTATGCTTTCTGATAAAAGTCATAAAAGCCATAAAATATAATTATAACAAAGAATATATACACATATATCAAGGTGTTCGTCACATGTTGAGTGCAAAAAGTTAAATGCACAACCGATTGGACGACCAGGATAACAAATTGTATCATTTGTATAATCGTGAGAGATTTCTTAAAAAATATAAAACGCCTCATCGTCTGCGCATTCAATACGGCGGCCATCAGATAATAGATATACATGATAATGTGAACAAAACAGTTCATACTGAACGCAATGAATACCGCTTCGGCTGCATTGTATAAAGGTATATATAAAAATATTTCTTTTTAAAAACAAGATCGCAAACTAAAATTTTCTCTTCATACTAACCGGGAAGGAAACGGAAACAATAATAGGTTAGAATAACCACCATCATATGATGAAAGAGATGCAAAGGTGAAACTTGATTTTGTTTTTTTCTCAGCACAAAAAACACCGTTTCAACCAGTTCGTAATTTTTGAGAAACCATATACGGCTAGCTATATCGTTGAACTCTGCCGCGCGTTCCGCAGTGTGGTAAATTATATTACAATTTTGGGAATTCAGAAGGTTCCATTGAGAAAAGTTCCACATCTAGGAAACAATTCAAATAATCTTAAAATATGTGAACTATGAAAAGCAGAAGAAGAGAGAAATATTGTTTACTTACTTTAATAATAACGTGAACGCAACATATAATTTGCGTAGCATTGTAAACAAATAGAACCGTTTTCAATTGATAAGCTGGACGGTTTTTCATTAAGCTGAAAGTAAATTTTAGATGCGATTAAGAATGCATAGATCTAAGAAGAGCATATATAGTTAGGAATTCAAAAAACGTAAATCGTTTTCAAAACTAGTTTTCCTAAAAAAATTGATTGTTTCTAGTTTTTATTTAATTGTGTTTAAATGTGCTCACATTTGGATTACAGATTTTAAGAAATATGTTCACATCCTTCACACATGTTCAGTGATAGACAAGAATATGAAAGAGACGTCAGCGTTCTTACGAGATTATTCCAGTTTCTTCCACATTGTGAAAGAGAGTTTCTTTATCTTTTACGACTGTGGCAAGGCGACAAATATACGAGCTTATAAAAATGAAAATTTTTTATTAGAAGTAGGTGTACGTCATCAGAATCTCAAAAACTGGACCAGCTAGGAAAAAAAAGTGTTTACAGCCATTTAAAGGTCTTGTTATAAAAATAAAAGGCCCCAAAACGGTTGGGAACATTACATGGCTAATAACGGTTCCTTTGAAGATTGAAAATTAAAAAGGATCAATATGACGTACTCAGTAGCTCTAGTGCTAAAACACACACGTTTCGATAAAATCAAAATCAAGTGAAAAAGTACCGTAGTTTTCTTTTTGTTTGCTTTTTTTAAATGCCACCGAAGGTATGTCATGTTATTAAATGTATGCCTTGGTAAATTCGCGAAGCACATCTATGTTCTCTACCAGTCCTCTTTTCCCTTCTATTGAAAAGATATCTATGAGCTTAAAACTTTGTTCGAAACAAGTCGTTTTTCAAAAGCGCTTTTAACGTTCGTCAGATTAAATTCAAAGATCAATGCAATTGCTCCATAAATAAGCTGATAATGGTAAACCAACTAATCTTTTTTTTTTTCTTCTCTAAATTATCAGCATGACTTTATTGTAGAACTTAGAGTTAATTTTAAAGTTTCTCGATTCTTTCGCGGGGGCTATTTAAGAAGATTAACAAAAACTCAAGAAGGCCAAATAAGAAGTTATGGTCTTATGTTTGTAGCCTTAAATGTTTGCTTTTTGTACTGTATGGAAGTAGCAAAGTAACAAATCGAATAAATAAAATGTGCCTACGTTTTGCAGCCAAATATCATATATAAGCAAATGATGGACTTTAAAAAGTACAGCTTAAGCTTTGCTATCCGTGCCTAAAATATGACGATAGCTTGTAATAGTCAGAACATTTATTTTTTTGTTGCTCTTTTACTTCTTTTCTGAATTTTCTCATTTCATATTTTTATAAAAATAATATTGTGATCAAAAAGTAAAGAAGTTAAATTGCGCGGATATATCGAATATTAGAAATATTCTTTTCGAAATTGATTTGATACAAGAGACTTAATTAAAAGAAGAAAAAACTAATTTGGTCTAACTTTTTGGACACAAAAGTACTTTTTGATGATTGTCTTGTTTTGGCCCCCTTAGCATTCCATATAAATAGTCGTTCGACTTTTATTATTCAACGAAATAGAAATTTCTATCTACAGTTTTAACGGATCCTTCGGCTAGAGATGTCCTTTTAAATTTCGCGACATTTCACAATTAAAATCTGAGAGATGTTTGCAGATATGAATCAACACGAATTCAATAATAAAAATGGAAAAAAGTGAAGCTATAACATCTGGTGATCCTTCAGAAATCCCAGAAAACTGTTCGAACAATCTTCATAAATATAAAAAATGGTAGCTTGATCCGGCTGTTCAATTGAAGACTATACCTTTTTCGTCTGTCACGATACTGACTGCGTCTTTGTGGCCTAAAATTGATCTAGGCGACTTATATTTTCAGCAGAACATTACCATCTCCCACATAAGCGAGGAAGCAATAACTCTATTGTGCAAAAAATTTTAACGTCCCACCTAAAAACGCTTAATGAAACATACTACCTATTCCTAATTCAGTATAGGAATGTAAGATTGAAGATTGTCTTTTATATTCATCAGTCGTAGCTTCAAGTTGCATTACTTTTGCGTTACCTTGATATTGGGGAGTTTTCTAGCAGTGCGACTTATTTTAATCAACAAATTTTTAACAAAACCGATGCTTCGAGAGTCAAACCTGTTTTTGTGCGGTAGATAGGGACCGCAGAAAAAAAACCGCACAAAAAAAAATATTCAAAAACTTCATAAATAGCTATAAGAAATAATTTTTCAAAGCATATTAAAGAAAATTTTGCGGTAGAGAGGGACCGCATAAAAAAAGTCTCACTTAGAAAATATGTCAAAGCTTTACGAAATAGCAAGAAAGTGCTTTCCAAACAAAATAAATAATTAAATTACACATTGAAACATTTAAAAAAATTGTAATTTCTAATTTTAAACAAGGAGAAATTTTCAAAATGTACATAATTCAATATGTACTACTCGTCGTAGTTCAAAACACTACTTGTACATTAGGATGCTCTAAACAAGGATGACCGGGTGCATTGTCAACAATTGACAACACTTTAAAAGGAAGACCCATTTCTGTCATATATTTTTCAACTTCTGGTACGAAACAATCGTTGAACCATGTTGTAAAAACAGCTGATGTGACCCATGCTTTTTTATTGGCCATGAAGTGCACTGGAAGTTCAGCTAAATTTATGTCTTTTAGCGCGCGTGGGTGCAAAGCTTTATTTATAACAAGTGGTTTTAACATTCTTGCACCAGATGCATTACTACAAAGATGGAATGTAATTCGATCCTTTGCAGCCTTAAAACCACTTGCAGCTTTCTCAGACTTGGCGATGAACGTTCGGCTAGGCATCTTTTTCCAAAATAACCCAGTTTCATCTGCAATGTGTCGATATTCATATATCGCACAAAAAAAAGAATCGCACAAAAAAAAAGCGCATAAAAAAAGACCGCACAAAAACAGGTTTGACTGTAGTTAGTCGTAGAGTGTTCCTAGAATAGCGCCATTGATCGACATTAAATTTTTGACTCAGCCATTTAACCCAATGGACACTTAACACAATTATAAGACAATAGTAAAAGTGTCTTAGCCTTAAGATAATCTTACTTGGAGAAAGAAAGCTATAATCGATCAATAGGAAGATTCTTAAACACATTCGATATTTACTTTAATTTGGGAAATAATCTTTAGATGCAGGAGTTTTAAGGCAGAAATATGCATGCATATTAATATAGAGAGAAATATATATTTACCTCGGTCCAATTTTCAAGACAAATGCCAAATAGAAGACCAGCATAGGTCCAATGTACCACCATGACAAAGTGTAAAGGTATTTTCTTTCTAGATATCGCGAGTAACAGAAAAGTACATATGTTTGATATAAATTTTTACTCCTTTTCATTAATTGATTATACTAACGCAGGTTCTCCTCCATAATCATAATTAATTTTTTTTTTATCCTTTTTCGAAATTTTTCAAATCGTTTTATTTGTATTCTTAGCAAGCACTTGAGTTGAAATCGGAATATCAGCGAAAAGCTGCTAATGCACTCCCGTGTCGAATTAACACTAACCTCTTCGCCAGAATGTAAACTTTTTATAATTTCGATTGTAAATGAATATTCGAACTTAAATGAAATTGCAATAATTAATTGTTAGATTATTAATTAAACATTTAAGCTAAAATATGAATGTGAGAGGTTTTGAATGTGCAGGAAGTGAGGAGGTAATGAATATATAGGAAAAATTGAAAATTGAATTAATTAATGGCCTTAGTATGCAAAATTGTGCATATTAAAAAAATTTAAAGTTCCTTACTCTTTGTTTATTGCTTACTAACGGTTAAATTTCATTTTTTACAGTCTAAAGAGAAAATGATGAAAGGTGTACGACGCGGTTGTGTACGTTTAAAAGATGCGGTCATTGGTATAGATGATCAAGAGGATAATACATTTACCATTACCGTAGATCATAAAACGTTTCATTTTCAGGTAAGTAAGAATAAAGATTCTCAACATATTTATTCGAAATTTGAAGGCGTTTTTTTGTCGCTTTTTTGCTTTCATTCTTTACTTGCTCAATACCAGGCTCAACACAGCGAAGAACGTGAAAAATGGGTTAGACGATTAGAGGATACTATACGACGTCATGCTAATCGTTCGCGAATGTGGGAGAGTCAAAGCACTTTCTATTTGGGTGGCTATCATAAAGACTCTAGTAATAAACGTGCCAATTATTTGGAAATATTAGGTAGACGTGTTTCCGAAGCGGACGCATATTTGCAATTAATGATTGAGCAAACAAATGTTAGTATCTTTTTCCATTACTATAAATAAACCTTGAAATTTATCATCTGATAATAATTTAGTAATCATTATATTTATCTAATAGAAATCATAAATTTACAGATAATTGAGAAACGCATTGCCGCCATAACGGATCCTAATGAAAAACAAAAATGTAAAGCTTTACAAGACAATGCTAGTGTAAGTAATTTTATAAACATGTCTTATCTTATCAAGTATCAATCAACATATATTTTAGTTGAGCAATTGCTTTTGGGGTTTCCTCACTAACACTTCGTAGTATAATATATTGTAAATTGAACTTTAGATTTGATTTTTTTTTAACAATATTTACGCTTAACTCATTATTAACGTATTCGTAACGTTTTTTTGCGGTTGACTCAACAATATTTCCGCTTACACTTGGCGTCTTATCTTACTTGTTCTCTGAACGCATCCTTCCACTTGTATATAAGTAATTAACTTTGTTATTAAGCAAAATTTAAACATTTTATGTTATTATAAATACGCATCTGCAATTCCACCATAAAACATTTTTCTTAGCAATCGAAATTAATTAACTGACGCATGTCACTTTTTGACGTAAATTTCTCATTGTATTGAAAAAATTACATTAATTCGTTTATTTCATTTCATATTCATATCGCAAAAACTTTGCAAAAATATGAAAAGCGATTGAATGAATTATTTTTAGGAGAACCCTTTATACCCTATACCTTAAATCCATATATAATTGCGAAGTATTAAATTAATGACGAAATATATAAAATAGATTAATTACGTTTAGCTAAAAAGCGTGAGGAAACTAAAGCATACGTGCAGGAAAAATTTCGATTGGCTATGAAAAGAGAAAAAGAACCTACGCAACGCTTAGAATCTTAGAATTTAAAAAGGAATTGTTAAACATGTTTATTACTTATGAACAACTGGATGAAGCCATTGAATATGCGCTTGCCATGACTTGCAAGGCAACAAGTGTCGAGGCCGCTCTAATGTGCCAATGAATACTGAAACTGTGAAAAAATATATTTTCTTTTATTTATCTAAGTTTGTCCCCATAGATGAGGAAGACAAGACCAAGACCGTCTCGGAACATTGAAAAAATAAAAACTGATGGCTAAAATTGTTCCATTCATTTAAAAATGCAACACGATTCAATCACCTTGAAGTAGAGCTGTTCAATTAAGGATTTTCTAGATGAGCGAAATGCTTCTTGCAACAAACAAGCGTCGCAAAGCGTTGTCTAAACCACGCCGTAGTATTTTTCCATCTATAACATACGCCCATCCATTATTTCAATTTCATATCCTCACGGGCGGCCTCATATCCGATATGAAAGAATTTTTCGAGAAAACAAAGTTCGTTGAATCTATCTCCTTGTTACCACCATCATGCCCTCTTTTTCTCCCCTTACAGCCATCGGCCCGCGCATGAATTGAGCAATTTCCCATACATCTCTATACATATTGCAAGTCTCTGTCAATTGTCTCAAGATGTATACGATGACATTATTTGGTAGCGAAGGTCCAAAGTTGACAACTTTAGCAATACGGGGGAATTTGAATTGGAAATGCGAATTATGCGAATAAAATAATTATTTAATGTAATTATATACTGATTTTTACCGTCACCTTTCCCTATTTGACATGTGTGTGTGTGTCTGTGTTTGTGCTAAGATTTACACCAATGTACGATATGGATTCAAAGTTAAAAATGTTTTTGCTGATTATGGACCCAGTAGCAAATATCTTGGGAAAACTTTAGATCAATATCTGTTTAGGATCGTAAAATGTATTTTTATGTATTTGCGAGCTTGATTGTGAGCGAAACGTCAAGTATTCGAACAAATGATGATAGAAGGGTAGGAGGACCTGTCTAAAAGGATTCAGAATTTTATTTTCCGAGAGTTTCCAAAAAAAAAAGAAGAAAACTTGCTCCCGGGTTGTGTTGTATTAACCAAAATTTACGCGAAATGGGGCGAAAATGCTAATTGTTTGATTGTGATCTGTTTGGAAGATTCTTACAAATTAGAAAATTTAGGAAATTTGAACTGAATTATAACTGTTAAGTGACCCGCTTGAATAGGCAAAGGATCTCGACTAGCAACTCAATGTTTATGGGATCGAATCTGTAGTGCGATAGACGTTTCAATTAAGCTGATAACCTTAGATGCTGGTGCTTTAAGATTTGAGTCTGACAATATGTTTCTTTGGCTAAATTCCTCATCATAATAATAATAATATAAGACTTAAGTGTTGAATTTTTGCTTTTTCTCTCGTTGAACAGCACTTGTAAGAAATCTTAAATTTTTATATTAATTTTCGCGATCGTAAGGATTGCCCAAAAATGCCCATGGATGGACAGACAGATTTCCGCAAATTTGCCTTGCGTATTTAATTATGTCTTATATCATTTTGAACTTTTATTTTAATTGCTTCGAGGACCTTTCATAATTATTCACCACATAGCTACTCACGAGTTAAGCCTCCGTCTTCAACTCAATGAGTAACATACGTTAGAACGTTTCACGTATCTACTATAGCTATTTTTGCGAATATAATTTTTTCTTTTAAAAAATCGAAATAAATAAAAGTCGTGATGTCTTGACTATATATATATACATCGCTTACAGCTTAAAGACCCTCAAGGATTATTTTGTCGATTACAACATTTATTCAATCTTCTATTGCAGTCTTAAATTAAAGTTGCTAAAAATTTAATATAAATTAATTTTCATAAAATCTTAAATGTGTGCATAACTACACCTCTAGGCTCGCAAGGTAAGCTCAAAAGCAGGAAACATGCTTGAATCTGTGATAAATAACAGCAATTAACTTTATTACCCACGTGTATATCGTCGTGACGAGCATTTGCAAATGTATGGGTGAAGGGAATATTCTTAATATTACTTAAGTGCATACAGTTGACACCTGTTAATTGCCTACATTGTCGTCAGCCTATGCAAATGCATTTTACGTTACGTACCTAATAATATCAAATAACCTTCACAATCGAATACGACGGGAATTATAGCAGATTTCTTTAAAAATATTATATTATTGTTGCTCTTTTAAAAATTAAACTTGTTTTTTTTTTTATTTTTTTTATATCTATACAATTTTTAGGCCATGTTGGATCACATCAAACATTCAATAGTAAGCCTACAAATTGCTAAAAATATGGCAAATCCTATTAACGGCATTTATAATGGTCCCGTTGTCGGCACCTCAACAAAATTGCTAACAGAAAGCGGTACATCCGAATCGTCGATAGCGATAGATCCGATCGATGCAAGTGTGGACAGTATTGCGATTTTGAAAGCTCCCGCAATGATGCGTGACGACGATAGCTCTACGACAGAGAATGGTAACTATTCGAATTTTGAAAAAAAACAAAAAATTGCTTTTTTAATTTTTTTTTTTTTTTTTTTTGTTTTTCCTATGCAACAACTTGAGATGCGTTGTTAAGGATAATCCTTGTGAGAATTTCACTTAGTTTATGTTTGCATACATTTATATATATATATATACATATATATATATGTGTGAAATAGAAGTGAATGTGAAATAAAAGTTACACTTAATTCTCTTTTTGAACGATGGATATGAGTTGATTTAATATAATCTGTCCGTCTGCGTGTCTGTGCGGTGTGTGTTGTTGGCACTCTCCTGGTCGCAAAACTGCACGCAGCTTCGTATTGAAAATGGCTCAAGTCGTCCAGACCAGAAACACGCAGTGGAGCGTAAATTAAACGAAACTCACTTTCTTTTTAACAATAATTTCTGGATTTTTGCTCGTTACTCGGAAATTATTAAAGTTAGAAGGTTGAAGTTTTTCACATTTACTTTACGAAGCACTCTGCTCCTTACGTGGAAAAAAATGGCCATGCCTTTGCAAAGTTACAGGTGATTAAATTCTGTTTTTTTTTCACTTTTTTGAGGTTTTATGCTTATTTATCAAAACGCAAACACGACAGAATATTTAAAACTATTTTGTACACTCCTGTACACTCTGCCTAAAAATGGATTAATTCTAAGATGAATATGGTAGATACGGCGATTATTTTTTCCTTAATACCAGCTATATGGGTATCAAACAGAAGAAGTAGTGGTGGGCCCATGCCGAATATAACTTTCTTATTTGTTAATTACACGATCTTTTGGTTGGATCTGTGGCAACTGATATGATTTTCGTTAAAATCGAGTTTCTTTAAATGGCCAAAAAAAAAAAAAAAAAAAAAAACAGATAATGGGCAAGAGTGTAGCTTATCATCAAGATTGCAAATATATATATGATTTTATTCTCTTGTTGGCAAAGAGATATTGTAGAAGAAGTTTGCCGAATCGAATTCTCCTAAGAAAATTAGACAATTCATTAAAATCACTATTAAATAATTAAATCGCTGATTGTAGGTTGGAATGTCATATGAGGCCAAAGAAAATCCCTTGCAATCCGGCTAAGCTCTCTAAGTAAGCTGGCAGTCAAATAATGAAGGAAGGAATGCATCTGAACTTAGGCACTCTTCGCAAGTATATCGCAAAGGTTTAATAAGCTGAAATGAAGAAAGTAGAAAAAAATGAATTAATTGTTTGCTTACCTCCTTCTAAACTCTTATACGTTCCCATGATTAAATCACAATTTTTGATATTAAAAATGGTAATATAATGTTATACGAAGATTATATATATGTATGTATTTATGACTACAGGGATAACTAGCTGAAGCAAGCTTAGTTAAATGCAGCTTTGGGTGTATCTTGTCAAGCACTAATAATATAAGGATCACATGGAAAGATTTGAGTTTTTCTACCTGGTTACACGAGAGAGAACAATATTTAACAAAAATAATTCAATATTTTAATTTTAATATAGGTTTCTTTCTTAGTGGAAAGTTATTGTCTTCCTTCTAAATTTCCAATAGATTTGTTTAAAATTTTGCGTCCAGAAAGAATATGTATGCAAATGTGTTACAAGTCGATTGACCCACTTACTATATCCCTGCCATGTGCTGTTGTTGAATAGAAAAAAGCTTATTTTTTATTACTTTGTGTGCATACTTTCTTTCTTTAACTGAGTTGTGCTGTTGCCTCTTTCTCCTTTTCGGTTATGAATAAACTAATTTACGATTATTTGAATACCATTGACATTGTGTACACAATATTTAAACAAACAGAGACCTACATATATTTATAAACTTTTCACTTCCGCATCCTTTACTAGCCGCTATTGTGATTATTTAAGTATATATTACATTTTCTTTTTGGTTTTTGTTTTTTTTTTTTTTTGTCATTTATACACATTAAAATGCGCTGTTCCGTACGGATATAACATTTATCTCTTCACTCTCCTCTGAACATGCGCTTGACCGGCTTTTTATTTTTGTTTTCGTTCTTTTCTTTTTGTTTTTGGTTTTTTTTTTTTGTGTTTTTTTTTTTTTGTTCTTCAACCCCATTACCACCATTCGATATAGATTTAATATTATGTCTGCATTATAAAAATACACGTAGTTCAGTGCGATTTTGTTGGTGTTGAAGTAAAGTTTTCTTTTCCAAGACAAGAAGACAAGTAACGCACAAAAACTAACCAAAAGATTATGTGACACATTTTTCTATTTCATTCCGTGAGCAAAGTTGTAATAATTTTAATTTAATAAAAAAAAAATTTAATTTTTTTTTCTCATTAAAAGTTAACTAAAATTTAAATTTTCACAAAAGATGGTTGAATGAAAAGAAATATTCTTTTTAATATTAAAATTATAATATATATGTAATTATGCAATTAAAATAGGCAGTTGTTAAACTTGACTTTGGCAAAAAAAAAAAAAAAAAAAAATCTTAACTCGAAAAAAGCTGTTTTGCATAAATAATTGGATATAACAATGAAGTCACTTCGGACATTTGCGGAATAATAATTTTCGATTTACTATAATGGATAAGACAGATAACTGTGATATGTGTGTGGAAAATGGTGAAACAAAATAACGGATATATCGAATTATGTTGGGCAAAGGTAAAAACATTAACGTATTGGTTACATATCCAACGATCACTCAAAGAGCCCATGATCTCTTAATCTATGTGTTATATAATTTCGTAACATTTTATCTGATGGCAAATGTGTAAGCATTTACTTGCACTATACTAACTATATTAAGGATTGGCGATCAATCATTAATTTTAAGAAATGCTTAACTTACTTTGGATTACATAATTAGACCGATTTGCGGAAGGTCTTGTAAGATTCGCCGTAAGATAGCATTGCGAGATTTTCAAGTTTTGCAGTTTTTCCAGCTTTTTTCAAGGGTCCCCTTAAATTTATTATTGTTTTTATCAATTTTTCGACGAATTAAAGAAATTCTTAGACTAAAAAGAAAAAGTTGGTGGGAGTCACATAGGCTACCAGCTCTATTGTCCTCAAATTTAATATATATGACTGCTGCCAAAACTTGGATATATTGGAAAATTTTATTGAAAGTCTTTCAATTTAAGAGCGGTATAAAAATCGAAATAAGGATGCACTTTGAGACGTCACTAATCCTTATATATTATAAATTATTAAATACAGTTTGTCCTCTGTTTTATAAAGGAGTACGTATTGTTGTAATAAGTTCGCAAAGAAAAGTTTAAAAAAAAAAAAAACTTAGCTTTTCTGAAAAACGAATGAAAACCCTGTAGGGGGACACGGCCCACGAATGTGATGAAAACAAGCGTCACGATCGGTCACGATCTGCATTTATCGGATCTCCTCATAAAGTTTTATCATAACAGACGTGTGTTTGCCATAGTAAAGTATTTTAGAAAATAGTTATGTAATTTTGTCACGTCGTTTTATAACAACCTAAACTCAGATTACACGTACAATGTGTTTGGCGAATAGTTATACTAGTGTATCGCTCAAGAGGTGTGCGTCGTTAACTGGTTAAACAACTCCACTTCTCATCGCTATTCCTATAACAGTAGTTCAAAATAAGGTATTTTTTAAATGAGCTGACTGAAAAAATAGTTCGATTCGAATCAGCGCTCGTACCCTTAGGCCAAAAAATGTCGATCCATTGAGTCTCATCAAAATATCTCGGAATTTGCGATCTCTAGGTTGAACACAAGAACACAAGAAAGCAGGAGCGACAATCAGACGTACAAGCATAAGATGAATGCAGGAAGTGATACTGAATTGATAGTTATAGTGAGAAGTAGTTTTATCTCAAGTCCTTCTGCGTGTTGTACACATCCGCATAAACTTAATCTACCTTTGTATCACAAGCGGCATAGGGTAGAAAAATACCTAAAAATTCTGGTGAGCTTAATTTTATTCAACAAGGTGTATGGGACTATAACGGGCTCTGGTTGATCGTGTATTTTAAAAATACACTTTTCAAAATGTGGCTTAAAAGGGCACTGGCTATGCCGGTCATAGGCGCCTGTAGATGTCAAGTAGCCAAGGTGGTGTGAAGATAAGCAAATAATTACAGGAGCATGAAAAAGCGTTTCTTGCGCTCGGAGAGAAATGCGAATTTTGGAAATCTTGTCTACTCTACAGCGGTCAAGCACCATCCAAGGGGATTCTTGCCGAAGGATTTTCGGGAAAACTTTGGCTGATAGAAATGCTGGGAGGTTTAGTTCTACAATAATGTTTAGTATATTTGAACAAAGTCTTATTTTCACTTTAAGGCGAGCATTCCGATCGGGTGAAGAGATTATTGTAGTCTGATCTCTTAATAGAGGGGTTACTTGATTGCAGAGACACATCGGTATGATTGACGCATTAATACTACTGCTATTACTTTCACTTTTGCTACTGCCACTGGTAACTGTTACCTATTCTTCTCGTTTCTCCTTTCTTGTGAAAACAGTTGATACAGCTTGGCGGTAGACTCTGATAAGGCCTAAAATTAGCATTTTCTTCGATTTTCACACATTAATAGTGGTAAAATCTTTTTTTATCAATTCGAATTTGTTTGTAATGGAAGCACAAGCACAATGAAAATCTATTGAAAATTGCTTTCTATTTTGTTATTAAGCCTAGGCTCTATTTATCAAGGTTAGTAAATGGGAATGAAAAAAATGCCTTCTAGCATTCGCGATTATATAAGATTGTTACGTCAAATACCTTCGTTACGTGTTTTTGCAATCAATTTCAAAGCAAAGAATTGAAAATTTTATTTGAAAAAATTAAAAGAATTATGTACAAAGTTGAAGAGACTTTCCTACAGATTTATTGTCGTTCAATCATTTATTGCATTAAGTAAGCAATGGTATAAAAAAGGATACAATTGAACACTGTCGCCTTAGCTAAAAAGTTTCCAAAATACTTTTTGTTTTGTTAATCCCCTGGCATAGCTAAATTTCCGCTTTTATTTATTACTAAGGT